AAGTATTACAGTTAATAAGGGGTTGATTCTTCCAGAAATCTCATTTCATGGTGAGAAGAGCAGAAACCCTAAGTCTCATAATCTTTTGCTACTGCTTCTAATAACCTTAAATATGACTTATGATGTTGAGAAATATTTCCTCAGGTGAGGCATGAAAATATCTACCAGCCTCAGTACACTCAGTCGTCTCACAGATGCACCACGTGTTTCTTTTCAATCTCACTGCAGGCTTTCTCCACCACCACAGCAGCACATGCTCCGACAACAGTGGCTTCTCAGAAGAGCCTAACTCCCACCTCTTCTTGCCCTCTACATCCATGCCCTCAACATCCAGCTGCTGCTCCCTGGCACTCCAAACCCCTGAATTCAGCAGGGGAAAGACAAGTTGGAGCACCAGAAAGGAGACCACACTGAGAGATCGGGACTCTGCATCCTGATGCTGTGGCAGACTTCATGCTCAGAGAAGAACCCCAGGCACATAACTTCATTGCTCTGCACGTTGGTTTTTCTACTTGATAGGTTTTAGCTACATGACATGGACAGTGATAAACTGAACAAAGACATAATTTTCTCCCAAACTCTGACATTGCTGAAGGCAGAAGATTTAAGGATGACTAAGTTCGGGGCATAAGGTTTGCTAGTGGAATGTTCTCAAAGGGTTCAAGCTAAGAGAAGAAGAAGAAATCCCACCTTCTGGTTTTAAAACCTTGGTACAAAGCACAGTGGAATTCCCTGTGGACTTCACTTATCCCTATGTCCTAATTAACTTCCATAAAATTTTCCACAACTCCAGAGTCCTGTTTTTCTTCATGAGGACTTATCAGATGAGATCTATTTGGCGCCTCCCCCTTGAATCCAGCTCCTCCCTCTATATAAAATTTTGTATCTTCCTAGGAAAAAAGAGGAGTTGGATTCTGGGTTCTTACTCTTGGCCATTGCAAAAAAAAAAAATCGCAAATTTTCTGCTGGCAGAAAACAATCCAAATAAAAATATTTCTTAATTGTGTTTTTTAAAGGTAGACTGTCGTGAGTTGCTTTGGAGGGAATATGTTTCAGCCACAAAAAGACTTGAGCACAGACAGAGTTGTGCCAGGTCGTGTGTGGTATAGAGCACTTTGAACACATTCTTCTTCCAAGAATATTCTAGTAGAATGGAGTGGCAAGACACATGTTTTCAGTAACATTTTACTTTATTGCTCAATAAGTTGCAAGAAAGTAAAGTGCAGAAAAGAATTTGAGGGAATTTGAAGGAAATCATAACTATGAGAGCTAAAGTTAAAAAAGCCACAGACATGAATGGGCAGAAGATTTATTTTATTCTAAGACCACTGCCATCAATAGTGGGGAGAGCACAGACTAAGTCTGAATACCTGGTGATGAGAGAAAAATTCTGAGATGTCCTAAATTTAATTATAAGGGGGAGGATGGAAGAGGGAAGGGGAAAGGGAGCTAATTAGTTAACCTTGGTCCAAACAACAACAACAAAAAACAGTCCACATTTCAAAGGATGTTAAAATCTTTACTCAGAACCCCAGGTAACCATCCCCTAGGCAAAATAGCATCCTGCTTACAGCCATTCTCAACCAATCAATCCAGAAGCAACAACTA